AAATTCAAAGCGGTACCAAACCGGTACAAACGATTCTCTTTCGAACCCCGTTGGCCGGCGTTTCGAGTATCTTAAACAACACTACCGAGTTACCGTATTTACGTATTGTTAAAAATTGCAAAATTTGGTACTTCCGGTCCGGTTAAGGTGCAAACGAAATTCAAAGCGGTACAAACCGGTACAAACGATTCTCTTTCGAACCCCGTTGGCCGCGTTTCGATATCTTAAAAAACATCCGAGTTACCGTATTTACGTATTGTTAAAAATTGCAAAATTTGGTACTTCCGGTCCGGTTAAGGTGCAAACGAAATTCAAAGCGGTACAAACCGGTACAAACGATTCTCTTTCGAACCCCGTTGGCCGCGTTTCGATATCTTAAAAAATAGCCGATTTGCCGTAATTACGCAATGTCCAAAATGTTTCGATTTTCTCGTTTTTCTCAAAATCCAAATTTGTTAGGAATTTTTTTCAAACGGTACAATGTTTGGTACAACTAGTACAATGTAGTACAGTCGAGAAAAAATCATTTTTCGAAAAGTGTGGGGTTACTCAAAAAATTCAAAAATTTCGATTTTTTGGAAATCCGCGCGTGATTTCAAAAAATTAACTACGGTACAATTTGGTACAAAACTAGTACAATGCAGTACAATTTCGATTATTTTAATTTTATTAAAGTGTGGGGCTAACTTCATACACATACTCAGTATTCAAGAATCCTATACGGTATCCATATCGGAACCGCTGCATTCTCACGCGAATTAACAAGCAAATGTGTCGTTAACCGCTGCATAGTATACATTGCTCGCCCTTTGAATATAGTTAGTGGGGATGCTAAATGAGTCCACAGGACGACAGTCCACGGTTCAGGACTCCTCGACTTATGCCAGGAGTCGCGTTTATGTATGCCCGAGAAGTTGCCAAGTGGTATCTACTGGCGGGAGACTATTTGAGTTTGCCAAGTAGCAATAATTGTCTGCAGTACTGTCCAGGCGATTGCAGCATTCCGCTATCGCTAAAATAGCCGACTATGAGAAGGCTTGATCCTTCCAAGGGCCTTTCAGTATAATCGAATTCCGGCCTTGCCTTTCTTTTCTTTACCGACGTGACTTCTGCCCAGGAATCTGTGTAACTCTACCGAATTTACACTAACAATGATATCGTACGTAGAGAATAATATGATAAAATTTAAGCTTTAGAGTTAACTCTTGTGATGTCTCGTGGACGTTATTTAATAAAGTTAAATAGAATTTCCGTACAAATTTTATTAACATTGATAACATGTTTTAAAGAAAGCAATAAGAGATTAAATAATATAAATTATACATATAACAATACATTAGAAACGTATGTATCGCAAATAAGTAGCAATTATCCAACTCTTATATTTATTTAAAGTTTTAATGCATTCATTTTAACGTGAAAAATTTAGACAGAGTTTCCTCGGATTTTGTCGTTTCTTCTTCTTCTCTGCTTCTTTTTTTTCTAACTAAGTATAATTAAATGTTAGCTTTAACCCATTTAATTCCACTACATTACAATATACATGAAGAAGAAAAGAAGGAGAAAAAGAGAAGCGAAAAAGTAGAGGAAAGCGAGAGCACAAGGATGAATTATAAAGACGAACTAGTGGAAGAGACTAAGAGAGAAGAAGAAAAAGGGGAGCAAGTAAATAATAAGAATTGATAATGTAAAGTTACTTTAAGATGCGATGAATTAATTAAACTAAATTAAGGTTTAGTTTGCAAATAAGATAGGTTAAATAAAGAAGACGTAACTGACTTTAGAGCTACAGAAGAGCTAAATTAAAAGGGAATAAGAAAGTATCGCTGTTGTATCTGTAAAACCGAAATGCATAAACAAACTTTAAAATTGATAGCGCTTTTAGCTATTGTTTTATGAATTCTGGTAAAAGTGTTTGCATTTCATCAGTGTTTTTTATGAATGTTTATTTATATATAATATTTTATGTTGTTTATTTGATACTTCGAGACCTGCAAAATCAATTTAAAAAAATAAATAGAATAAAAGATATTTTCTCATATAAAATACTTACTTGTCTGAACATTGATTGTACAATGTTATTAAATTTATATCATTATTTATATCATCTGGTTCACTGCCTTATTGATAATTTTCTTTCTTTTAATATGATGTGTTTATACTAAATAACAAGTGTATTTGCCCGTTTGCTCTCATAATCGATGTCTTACTATATAAATTTAATTATGCTTTGGTTTTAAATGGTAAACTAAATTAGTGATTCTCTTCGAAAATTAATTAGTTAATTAGCAACAAAGAGCGATAATGAGTCGTTTCATACCATACAATATTCTCTGATTTGGTAATTTATTAATGGTATGATTTAGTAATTTAGTTGATTGTCATATGATTACCATAATCTGATATTAATAATAACCTTATGTAAATTTCTCATGCTCTCTGTGAATAATGGTAGAGTCAAATATAGGTGCAATATTGTTATTATTTATATACTATGTATAATATGATTATCATATATCCTTTGTTCATATTAAATTATAATTTTTTTTAATATGAACATAACAATTTAATTATTATAAAATCTGCAATTTTGTAATTATAAAAAACAATTTTGTTATAAAAAAAATACTAAATTAGCGTACTACTTTAACGTACTATCTAAATCTAAAATTGAACAGATCAAAAAGAAATAAAACATATTGGCTTAAAAGTTTAAAGAAAACAAATTTTTAATAATTTTATGTAAAATATGTGATTATGCATACAAAAATTAATTATATTTATTTTTTCTATGTTTCAGGAAACGACAAGCAGCGTTCAAAGCGTGATGAGTTAATTCCAAATTTAAATAATTTTTAACAAAGAAAAATAATCGCAGATTGTACAGAATAGTTATCGAAAAGGAGAAAATACAATGTAGAAATTCGATTAAATAGCGATATTTTACGAATGGCGCATTTGAAAAGTGTGATAAAGATCATAATAACAATTAATTATCTTGATAATTAATTTGAAAAAAACAATTAGTAATTGAGTGAATTTTAACGAGCAAGAGTGAACGAAACAAGATGCCAAGAGATATTCTGGATTGAGGCTGTCACTTTACTGTTGAATAATCCAGGAAGGCGAAAGGACTAATTGAAGTCATGACTCGCACAAATGGTAAGATTATTACAAATTACGTCAACTTATTGATACAATTACTTTTTATTCAAAGATGATTTTGACGCGCGAAAACTAAATAATTTAGAAGAAATAATTGATTTGAATTTAAATTCTTCCACTCTCACGCTTAATCTACCTTTTCGCGTTTTACTTTTGATTCGTGAATTGACAAGATAAATTCGCGGCCAGATGACGCATCATTGATAAGGAAGAGAAATTATCGGGGTGAGTGTGACGGGGGCCGAAACAGCTTATCTCCTTTTTCTCCACCACGTGGATCACGAGGGAAACGTGGCGCCGTTACACAACGTTGAATTTCCTTCTCCTCTCTAGGCCGATAAGTACTGATTTCCATAATGGCTCCACGTACGAGTGCACTCACTTATCCCCTACCCTTACCAGCGCCGCTCTCAACCCCATTCCGCCATAACCCTCTCTTTGCAACCATTCGTATGTCCTTTCTCTATCCGCGCTCATGGAAACTTCGGTTCTCTGTAATCTTATCGCGTAACGCGAATTCAAGACTCGATAATCGCATCGGGACGTGATTAATTTTTTGATTTAACGCTCTTCATGTACGCCAACACCACGACGATTTTATGGCAACGCTCATGGTATGCGGAATTATTATTATTAAAGTTTATAATCCTGCACTCTTCTTCACGGCTGATATTGAATAAAATTTCCCGTCTCAAATTTGCTTTTTAAATTTCACATTTAAAAAATATTAATTTTTGTTCTATTTGTTTTTACATGAAATGTATATATTTTTAACGTAATGTAATACAACGTGAAAATTTTACTTCTTAATTAATTAATTTAATATAATTTTTTGAATTTTTCGAATGTTGAAAATGGAAAAGTTATCATATTAAAATTATTAAGGTATAAATGCGACGCTAAATAGGAGTGCAGAAGTATTTATCAAAAAGGGAAGAGATATATTCAGCACAGATTTCGTAGTAGTTGGTTAATTAGCTTTTTCCGAGAGATTTGGTTCTATTAAAATACAGCAAGAGTGCGACTTCTATAGAGAGTGTTTCCTCGCGCTTATCGAACTTTATAACTTTCTTCCTTCTCACGCTTATCCATCGTCCTCACCTCCTGTTGCCATTTTCCCTTCGGCTATTTTACTTTATCTTTCATCAAATAGACGCGGAGATATGAAACTTTCTATCGCCAGATTAGAATACGCTGATAATCGACAAACACCGAAGATGTCTCCGCAAAAATCGCTCCTCTTCTTCGCGGTCGATTATCAACTTCATTGTAACATGTATTCAATTATTTATTTCTTTTTTTTTTTATTGAATATTATTGTCATTTCCAATAGAATTGTTGGAACCGCAGCGCGTATTAATTAAATATTGATATAGTTAATTGAATGGCACGCTAAATAAATACGGCCAAACCGGCAGTAGCGCAATCGCCGCGTTCTCGAAATTAAAACTAACAAAAACACAGAAATTAATTGATGCGATCGAGCGAACAATCGCGTAAGCGAAATAAAGTGCTACTTCACGCGTTTGTTACAACCACCTTTGAACAATCTCGAATAGATATTAATTAATAATTATCATAGAATTATGAGAGCACTGTTTTGTTTCCTAGCATTATTGCATGCTGGTTTTGTTTACTGTTATGCTCAATTAGCTTTACAGTTAATTAATTCTAGAAGATTAGAAAGAGATATGAGAAATTAGAGCGTGCGGTCTAAATAATCGACGATCAATGATCTATGGAGCCGCGGTTCATGTATTATTTTCAGAGAAGCCCATCGGAATGGCGGGAACTCAACGGTGTCGCAATTAATTGCGCAAGCGTAAATGAGAGACGATCGTTGCGAGACGCGGAGGTGATCCATAGATCGTGCCGGGCGTGATCAGTCGTGGTAGAGCGCGGGCGAGAGGAGGGTGGCAAGATGGAACTTTTCCTGATCTTCGTCTGCCTGATCGCGCCGCCCGCCCTCTCGCTCTCTATCAAGAGCAAGCTCAATCCACGGATCGTCCAGACGCGCTACGGCGAGGTGCAGGGCATCACGCGGTCCTTCGAGTACGCCAAGTTCCTCAAGCCGATCGACGTGTACCTCGGCATACCCTACGCCACGCCACCGGTCGGCAGCAACCGCTTTTCCCCGACGAGAGCGCCGAGTCCTTGGGAAGGAGTCAGGTAAAATATTCTTTCCTAAGAAAAATAGAAAGAATTTCATTTCGACGTATTTAATTTTACGACGTGAGCCGTTTAGTAATCTGAAAAATTTCATTTTAGTTCGGCATTATTACGCGCTATAAAAATATTTTGAAAAATTAATTTTTTTTTACCAAAAAAAGTAACAGTGTCCTTGAACGAATATATAATTAAAATTTAACGTACAATTTTGAGAGTCGCAAAAGAAATTAGAAGGATAAGTTGGACGATTAAATTGCTGCGAGAAAATTAATAATGATACTCTCTGTTTACTTCTTATATATTCAACACAAATAAGTTCTCATAAATGTTACTTATATAAATCCCGGACTTTTCTTCTAGCGAGTTATGCGGAAAGTTACAAGGCTAATCAATTTTTATTTCCGTGCGCAAAGTCGATCGCATTTATGATCTCCTTGCAGGTTTTAGAGGCAGCTGCTTTTCAATTTTATAACAAGCACGATCTTGTCGGGATACTTCAAATACCGCGCAGTCTTCGTAAGTCGAAGTGTCCGGGAGTATCGCGGAGCGTGTACAACATCTTGAAATTATGCCAAGATATTTCTTGGCGAATTTTTTGAATGCCGATGTTATATTACCTCTAATTTTGCCTATGAATATGTAAAAATCTTTAATTTTTAGAAGTATGTAATATTGGTATCCGATAAAGTAAAATTAAATGTTGCTAGATAAAATTAATACAAAAGAAATATTTGTTAGTGTATTAAAGCGTTATACGCTAAAGGGTTGAAATATTCCGTAGCTCAGCGCATACCTGAAATTCGTTCCCCCTGACGTCGTCTGTTCTTATTGAACATGACGACGCGTATTTCATGCGAAACTTTGACCGTTCGGTTCGTTGTAACGCACGAACGATTTCCGATTTCCTCTGCAGATTATCGGACTCGGTGGGTCCAGTCTGCCCCCAAAAGCTGCCGGACATCGCAAACGAGCAGGAAGCGCTCGAGCGAATGCCTAAGGGAAGACTGGAGTATCTGAAGAGACTACTGCCTCATCTGCGTAACCAGAGCGAGGACTGCCTTTACCTAAACATCTACGCACCCGCTATGGGTGAGTAAACTAACCCTTTAGCAATTGAATTGCATGAGCGATGTCAGTTATAACCACACTCACAGTATGTTTTACCATGCTGTTTCCTTCTATTTAAAACCTGAGCCTTCGGAAATATTTAGGCTCCAAAAACGCTATATTTAGAATTTCAACAACAATTCTGCAGTTATTTGAACTTGAGAAATATTTACAAAAAATTTATTTCTCAAGCTTCAAATAGTTTTAACGCAACGCGCTATGAAAGAATGGATCTACATTTTTGAAATCTCTGCAACTATTTTATTTATGTCGGTAAAATGCATACTCATAAATTTTTTAAATTAATTTTCTACGATTAACTAAACTTTTTTAGTTCGAAAACAATATTCGGTTCAGAAAAAGTGCTAGAGATTCTTTCTATTTCACGTACCGAAATAGGCCGAATGGAAGTGCAGTAAGATCGATCGATCAAGCATTGAAACTTCTTTATACGTCGAACATACGTTCTCTGCTCCGAAGTCGCAACGAGAAACGATATGCTGTCGGCACTATCTCGCGGGAAGAACTTGGTAACGCGATTCTATAGAACTGTATTTGTTCTCGTAACACATAGGATTCGAAGTTTCTCCAGACTTTTGGATGCTCGAATAATAAAATTTAAAAAAATTTTTAATTCGGATACTTTGTTAAAAACACTGCAGTAAGAAGCTCTATAAATTAAACTTGGAATTACAGAATTTGAATTTATTTAGATCTCAGAACACTTAAAGATTGAAATCAAGAACATTTTTTTAATAAGATATGTTTAAAAATGATTCTTATATTAAGTATAAACATTTTTTTTTCAAAAAAAATCTTAATGCCGAAAAATTGGACGATTTTTATTTTCGGCAAACATCATTTGTAAGAATAAGTATTTCTGCAAATAAGCATAAGCTATTCGTACACGTGAATATGATAAGCTTAATATATCCATCAGTCTTTGCTGGTCGTCGAGCGACGTTGAATGAATGGCGCGGAAAGCTATAGGTGGGAATGGGAAGGGAAACGGAAAGGCGGGAAAGCTGGAGATAGGAAAAGCCGTTCTCGGCAAGGCCAGACATTTTGTTCGTTACACAGTGTCCCGATTAAAAAGCGATTTTTAAGATGATTCACTGGCGACCCAAATTGAATCGCTAATCTAAGTTTGAGGAAACTTTCCGAGAGTTGGAAGGCCCCGTGAATTATGACGGTCGGGAATAGATGTCATTGACCTCCGCGCGATCCCTATATAGCGCGACTCGCGTAGACTGTCTGAAGCCGAACTTCCTCGGGATTGTGCAAGTTATTGAGCTTTAACAGGACCGGCGTCTGGCCGGGAAGACACGTGGAACATTTCAGATAGATTGAGGATTATAGCCTTTATGATAGATAATTAGACACAATTTGATTAATTGGAATTCTAGAATTTCTCGCGATAATGTTCACATATTGATCTCAAACTAGTGTCAATGAGCTTATGAACTATCTTACACTTCTGATTAAGTATTTTCGTATCGAACGCATCACGTATGAGCATTTAACATAATCTGAGTTGATTACAATCAATACGAAGCAAAAATTGTAAATCAAAATACAAGACATTATCAATATCTGGCTTCATAAGAACGCCATGTTGTCGTTGGCTATATATCTTTATAGTAAAGATATTTTGGGAGTAAAGAGGACGTGGGGCTGGCCATATTTGCCGTTCAATTTCCGGCACCAAGACGTTGAGAAGCGTGGAACAGCTCGCAGGCTTGCGCGGGGTAAAGCGAAATTTTCTATTTCGCCGAGGAAATTCAATGATATACGATTATTGAAACACCATTCACTCCGACCGACATACGCGGAGACATAAAAAGGTTCCCTCGAAGCCAAAGGGAAGACAGAAAGAGAAAGTTCGCCGAGTGATGTAAGGGGTGGGAAAGGCCTTAGGTGACGGCAATAAAAAGGGTTGAAGATGAAGAGGCACAACAGCGTAGAAATATATTGCGTGTACCTGCCACGGTGTTCGACGTTGCCTCCGCGGCTGAAAACTGAAGGGAGTGACACAGAAAGATTTATCAAATGTTTTTCATTTTTCCGACGGGCACCTCTGACACGTGGCACGAAATTGCTCGCTGAAATCTTCGCGCCATTGCGAACTGAGTAAAAGTTCCGCGAGATTATGGTGTGAACTCTAGCGGATCTGTAAATCCATCATCGTCTTTGTCGTTTGTAACTGAAAAGACTTAAAATTTCTCTGTTTTCAAGATAAGTTTGAATTTAGTTTGTTTGGAATGCCGAAATACACACACTTTCTAAGAATTCGACAAATTTTCGCGAAAATTAAATATTTTAAAAAATTTTTAAATTTTTATTGAAGAAATTATTTTATTAAATTTAATTTAAAATATAATTCAAATTGAAATAAAATCTCTCTGTATTAAATACAAAATCGCTTTTCAAAATTGCACAGGATCGTAATAAAAGCAATAAAATTTATAATCTTCTGTCATGATTTTAATACTATTGTATGTTATTTTATACTATAAATTAAAAAATTAGATTTACGTTTAATACAAGTTCAGTTTCATCTTTTTCCAAATTTGCAATTATAACGAAACTAAGAAAAGAATTATAGTTTGTTATCATGATCGTAATGCTATTCGACTACAGTCAGCGTTAAAGTCATATCGAATAGACTCGGCTTCCTGCTCGATAACAGCCAGCAAAGTAATAACTCAGAATTTTAAACTGCGTCCTCACGATCGAGTCTCAGAAAGTACCGTTTCTGAGCAACCTCTTGAAAGAGATACATTTCCTTCGGCGCGGCATTGTCTCTCGGATTCTTACGTAATGGAAATTTCTATCGAAAGTTCCGATCCGGTTAATGCACATTGTCGGCACTTCTTCCTCTCTCCCTCTCTCTCTTTCTCTCTGACTTTGGAGAAAGTTTCCGTTTTCCTTGGAAGACTCGCAATTACACGGCCGCCTGCACTCACAATTCCGGCGACGATAGGTAAAGCCCAGTATCGAACGTATGGCGGAAACGGAAAAAGAAGGAGGAGGAGGCGAGTTTTCGAGGCGCGAACTAATAATCGAATCCACCAAGTTCGCGGAATTTGTTTCAACTCTCGGAATACTTTGGAATAAGGACCCCCATTCCGCGACCCATTCGCACTCCGGCTCTTTGCAGGAGATTGTCTCCTCGCGCTCCTTTTTGGACGAAAGTATGGCTCGGGAAATGATTTATTCGTCGCGCGCGGAAGATAAAGCGTCTCCCTTTCCCTTAGGCTTCTCGAGATTCTCTGCTTCAAACGCGATTTTGAGAAATCTTAATATGATCGACAGTGCAGCTCGTTGCTAAAAATTATTACAAAGTGGTACAAATAGACCTGCATTATTTTTGGTCCGTGTAATAAAAGATTAAGAGCCGCGACGTGTTCCAAAAATAATTTCACGCTGCATTTGTAGAAATAACTTTGGGACATTATACGCGCGTTAGCTCGCGACAGGAAATTTAATGTGGCGAGCTGAGGGAAATCGTACGATCCCCGCGTATCCTTCTCCTTTTCAGCGAAAGAGAACGTCACAAGTGCGGAGTGCACATTCGCTCAACTTCCGGCCCGAAAAGGCATTACTAATAGCTCTCGTCGCTGTGATTAATGGCACTAGAGTGCTGTTCCGTTTAGCCGTTTTATTAATTACGCCGGATAACGAAGGTCACCGTTTCCGCACGAGACTATCATTTATTAGCACGGTGTCGCGATAGAGATCGAAAAGCACATGTATTTCAGTATATTGGATGCAAATATTTTTGACTAATTTTAAAAAATGCAATAATTGTAGGGAAGCCAAATATAATAGTAAACAATAATCTTTAAGATTTTTTAAAAAATTTTTTTTTTTTTTTAAATTATTTCTTAATATAATCACAAACGGCAAAATAAACTTGTTTGAAACAATCTACTCATTTATTTATATACTTTATTACAGAATAAACATTGATCGCCATATCGTTTTCTATCTTCGAAGAATTTCTGTTTGACTTCTTTAGCTAAAGAATAAATAACAGCGCGTTTTTTTTGTACATACATAGCGATGCTCTCATTTGAAGTTTGCACTCACAATAATTTAATATACATGCGAACAACTAGGGAAAGTGCTAAACTACCTGTTTGCGTTACGTCAGGATTATCATCAGCGCTACCGAAAAGTTCCAAAATTCTCTTTGCTATATTTGACTTCCCTTTGTATATGTATTCTGGGAATAAATTGCCGTATTGCGCTCACAAGTAAATAACGTTATATTTTGTGCGAGATGTCCCGCAAATTAAACATGAAATGAAAGCAAAACGAAGTTTTTTACTAATACAAGACTGTTTTATTTAATTTTGCATCGAAAGAGATTAAAATACCCAAGCGGCTCGAAGGGTTCCCTTTGCCAGCTACTCGACTCGAAAGGGCAGCGTAATAAGAAAGAATACCTAGGACCATTCCTTCTGGAACTCCGGACTGTTTTACGATACAATTTTAAAGTCGACGTTCTCGTCTCGCTTCGCTGCATAATTCAGGAAGTTCCGCGAGCAGGAGACGGCGGGATAAAGCAGGGGATCGATTCGCTACTGATTTAATTATCTTTTAATGAAAGCCGAGATTCCCCGGGCCGGTTGTAATTTTACATCGTCTACGAGCTGCGCAAACGCGGAATATAAATGGTAATTAAGGCTTACCAGATGGACCGTGCTGTTGCGTTATTCTGCCCAATATAACCGAAATACACCGGCGGCTAAGTGAAATCTGACAGACTTGTTAAGTTTGCCAGATTTATTACCGCATTTTATCCGCTCGCCGTATCTTCTTGTTAATTTGTTAATTTCAGCTAATGCCAATTTCTTCTAATCTTGCGAAAATGAGAAATTTTTCGATTCATTTAAACATTTAGAAAAGAATTACACTAACATTTTACTAATAAATTAGATTCTTTATGAAGGTATACGTCAGGTCTTGTAGACGAA